TGTGTCAGACATTGCCAAACCCAGACTCAACACCCCGCTGACATCAGGCTCGAAGCAGTTCATCGCCTGTGGTCTTCAATTGTCAATGTAACAGCCTGCCCCTACTCCCAGAAAAGAAACAAGTTCCAAAAATAACTCATTTCAGTCTATGCACACGCAGACACAAACTTATCAGATTTAAGAGTTCTCCCGCTGGCTGTTCAAGGCGCACGCTCCGTGCAATTGTACAGCTTGTGGACGTCGCACGGCATCAGCATGGGCAACCAATCTCTGAAGTCCTGGTCTAAAGCTCTCTCGGCAGATAGGTTCCCTGCAAAACGATCGCAGCACGTGTGCCGTACCTTTACAGGAAATTGCTGAGCGACGCGGCGAAGGTCAGGAACGGAATCCATGTGCCCCAGAACTGTTGCTCGCAAGTTCTCAGCCGTGCAGCGATCCACAGCAGTCAGGCACGTGGGCACGCTTCCGTGCAACAGCTTGTACTGCTCTTTCTGGGCGCCGCCGCCGCCAGTCATGCGCACCAGGAAGGCAAGCGACAGTTCGCTCTGGACCACTTTGGCGTGCGGTGACTTAGTCTGCCCCTGCGGCACGATGCTGTGACTGGAAGCTGGCTCCTGCGGCAGGATGTCGCGGAGCCTCACCTTCGTAGGCGTCTCGTCGTACCGCATCTTGCTGATCATTGCCACCGGCTGCGCCACGCTGCTGCTACCGTTGCTGCTGCCGCTGCTCGTCTTGAAGAAGCAACACAAGCATGTCATCAAGATGCCCCACAGAAAGCCTCCAGCCTCCAGCATGGCAGCTGCTACGGACAGGACGCGAACGTGCGCGCCGGTCGACTGCACGAACGTGTCCATTTGCTTGAAGCTCATGGTGGCAGAGGGCGCCTCGAACTGGCGCTGCAAGAATGCGTCGGGCTGCTGCTCTTTCCCGATCATGTTCTGAGCAGCTTCTCTGAGGCGCTGCTGCAGCTTCGTTCCTATGCTTGCCATATCCTCCAACCTGCCAAAAGTTGTCATAGCTGCCTCTTGAGAAGACAGCTGATGGGCCCGTTGCTCTTGTTTCTGACGCCGGCATTCTCGGGCGTACTCTATGCCTCTTGCCTCAGCTGGAGCAACTGAGTCGTCCTCAGCCTCTTCTGCGTTCTGCGCGGCAAGCTGCCGCACAAACCTAGAGCCCCGTGGACGGCCTCCGCCCTTGCCCTTCCCTTGGCCAGGGCGCTTCACGAAGGAACGCACAGGCAGTTCTGTCACAGAAGATGCGTCTGCTGCATCACCGGCTGCACAAACAGCCAACTCTTGTTCAAAGAGATCGTCGAAATCGTCACCGACAGAACTCATGGGTTTGTCACCTTCTCTGCCAAAAGAAGCACTAGCTGCTTCGCCATCTGCAAGATCAGCCAACACGTCTTCACACAGATCATCCCAGACACCATGACAGGCAAAATGCCTAGTCTCCCTGACAGAACTATCGCTAGCTGCGCTAGCTGCTTCGCGAGCTGCAAGGTCGGCCAGCTCTTCTTCAAAGAGGGCATCCCCGGCATCTCCCATAGCTTTGTGAGCGAGGCTTCGCAGGAATGTGAGGCTTGTTGCAGGTTGCCTACAATACTGGCTTCTACCACTCTAGCCACCAAGGTTACGAACAGTTTGCGGCTGCTGTCGCCCGGACTATGATTCTGAATACAACCTCCCATGCATCCTCAGCTGCAGCCTCACAGCGCCACGCTGTTGGTGCGCAACAACAGCCCACCCCTCAAACTGCAGGGCTTTGCAAAGGAATTTAGCCTCCTTACAACAGAAATCCTTCTGCTCAAAAGCATGCACAAGCCCCGTGAAATGTCTGGACAATCCGTCCTTAGTTAGCCTTACTTCCAGGACGAGCATGGGGAAGCAAATAAGCCCTGCCGTGCCTTGTGCGGTGCATCTTCACGAAGTCAGAACCTTCAGCTCGATGCACCACGACCCAGTATCCTCCGTGCCGCCACGTCTGCTTGGACATGAGCGCGAGGAACCTGCGACAGCTGATATCGTAGGCTAGAGATCCGGGAGTGTTACGCGGTGCCAGCAGTACTCGCGAAACTTCAGGTCATGCGTGGTCACTAGTTCCGTGTGAAAGATGGGACCTGCGATTGTTGCGAAACAACGAGGAACGGCAATGATGCTTATACTAATAATAATAATACTACATCCATATCAAAGGGACGGGCGAGTCTTCGTACAACAATCACCCACAGATTGCAGATGTTCAACTCCCTAAACCCTATAAACCCTAAACCCTAAACTAAACCCTAAAACCTATACCCTGAACCGTCGCAACCATCATCAGAGTTCGGCGCTGAGAGGCTTGAGTTGATGAGTGCCGGGCTTACAGTGTGGGCAGTGCGGGGTGTAACACGTAAGGCTCGGGCCGGGGCGGTTGTCGCAGAAGAAGCAATGATCTACAGAGTGATAAGGAACAGTATGTCAGAAGCAATAAGACTACGGTATGAATAAGAATCCTTGTCACCACGAACCGAAGAAGTGGCATGTTTCTATCATGCTAGGCCCGATCATTACCTAACCTACTTAAGTTACCTAACCCGGAGCAAGCAGATAGTAGCAGCACATAGAGAGCAAAGATCTGCGCAGCGAACGCTTTTCAAGCCGAAATGCTGGGACACCCTCCGCTTACCTAAACCCCTAAACCCTAAACCCTGGAATCTTAAAATCTCGAAACCCCAAACCCTGCAGCACGAAATCCAAAGCCCTGAAGCCTTAAAGCCTTGAGCTTGTCGGAAGTTCCGACCTAAGCTCCCCGCCCGTTATCCGAAATCCAGAAATGTCCGACCTTGCCTACCAACCGAGCCCTGAAAGCCGAAACCCGAGGCTACGAATCCAGCCTGTCTTTGGGTGTCTCCCTGCTGCCAGATTGAACAGGTTGGCAAAGGCCCCAAACCTGTTCCAAAATGCCTCGCTTCGGTTCTACTCGAGTGTACAGAGCGATAGCCGACTTCATAGTCACATTGAACAGGGAATGTTCCTTGAGCATACCATCGGCAAATCTTTTAGCCCTCATCTTGGAAAACGGGTTGCAAGGCGTCCCTGACACCAAGACATCTACTCCGCAACGCTCGTAATCATGACATGTTGGGGGCGAGCACAACAGCTCCTCTTCGCATCGCCTCGCAGCACAAAGCTCACAGACTGAGCCCGGACGGACTTGTTCTTCAACTGATGAGAACATGTGCTCCAGGTTGCCACTGTAGTTCATGTGGACGAAGTCACGGTAGCTAGCGCAGACATCCGAGGCCGCCAACAAGCTGAAAGGCATGTTTAGTGCCTGCGCAGAAAACACAAACAAGCCATGGCGAGCAAGCACTGTTCAACTTGTTTGCTGTTTCCGGACATGACACGCGTGCGTATCTCTGAGTACAGATGATCACATGCCACGGGACCTATGCTGCACCCTGCCTTGAACACCGCACCCTCCGCGCTGCAGCCGGTACAAGCGGAAACAACTTGCAAAGGTTCCCTTAGTGGACGTGGCCATTTGATGCCAGCGTCCTCGAAAACCTGGCGTAATGTGTCCACCCACCACACATGGGGTGAGTCCGGTGACTCCACTTCGTCCAGGGTTTCTGACTCCGAGTCAGAGTTTTCGCGGCACTGGCAGGCATCCTCTATCAGGTCTGCTAGACAAGAGGATGACCCTGCCTCTTGGGCGAAGACTGCCTCCCAATCATCTGCCATGGTCCCCGCTTCGCAACCGAACTACCTGCCTGACCAATGAATTAGCTTCTCTAGTTGACAAAGCTACAGCACTGCGGAATGAGCTTGAACTAGCTCAGCTGCCTAAGTTAGAGTAGTTAGCCAGCTTGCGAACCTCTCCGTCCTTCTGATGGCTCCGCGCTGGAATCTGAACCAAATAGTTTGCATGGGCAGCAAATGCCACTCTGTCTCCAAACGTCACAACAATATCTAACAACAGAGAACACAAGATCACGTCCGAAAACCAAGGGCCCAACCTAATCCATAAGATAATCCAGAATAAGATCACGCCCGAAATCCAAGTGCCCAAAAAATCTTCAAAATAATCCAGAACAAGATCATACCCGAAATCCAGGCGCCCAACTAATCCTAAAGATAATCCAGAACAAAATCCAGGTGCCCAAATGAATCCTTAAAACAATCATAAGAATAATCTAGCCCGGAATGGTAAATAACATATATTGCTAACCCCAGACCTGTAGCACAAAAAATCTTTAAAGTTTAGGGGGGTTAGGATCATGGGGTCATGAGCTCATGGTTTAATTCAAGTCATCATGTGAAGTAAGGCATGAATATACTGTAGGGGCCTCAATAATTAGAATAGGGTTTGGGGTCCCATTATACTATAATTATCGTGGAACCCCCAAAATAGTATGAGTAATTATTGAGGCCCCCACATTACCAGTATGGCCATAACAACTCCCAACAACAAACACACACTTATCCAAATTCCTATGGAGTCCCCGGTACACTCCCCAAAACCCGAATCTAGACCCTACCGGAAAAATTCTGAGCACACCGGCACTTATTTCCACGTGCGCGGAAAGCATGCCACAACTTAGTCACACCGTCTAGAAATTACATGACGCTCAGCTCACTGGATGAGCCCAACCGGCCAACACACACAAACGGGCAAACGGGACGAATCAAGCACAGCCCAAACCCAAAACCCCGAAGCCCCAAACCCCAAACTCAAAGCCCCAAACCCAAAACCCTGAGCTCAAAAACCCGAAGCCCCTAAGGCCTAAACCTTAAACCCCCTAAATAAAACGCTATGTGTACTGACCCCGACCTTCCAACCAGAAACCCAAACCAAAACCCGTCTGAAACGACAAACACCCCCAACAGCCGGAAACTATGAACTTCAACGCCCAGAAGGGTTTAGGGCTTAGGGTTTCCAACTTTTGGGGGTTTTACTCTAGGGTTTAGGGTTTAGGGGACCTTACAAACTTCACCTACTGGTACTTCCCAAGCCGCCGAGACAAAGCAGGCGAAAGAAGTCGGGCGCCCAACTGCGCTGCGGAAGAGAAACTCCCCCAGAGGCGACCCAAGTCCCAATCCTCGGCCAAAATGGAGAAAAGTCATGTCGGAAACCCTAAACCCTAAACCCTGTCCTTCGCAGGCTTTTGTATACCAGGGCGGGACTTTTAGGGTTGTATATGGTTTAGGCCGAGGGATTAGGACTGGGTAACATAGTGATCACACAAGGGAAACTGCAGGATTGTACATGGTTGATCTTGCAGGTTTAGGGGTTATAGCTAAGAGAGCAGATGCCTCAGCCTCACAGCCGGCGATATTGAACTGATTACTGCTCTAGAGACTGATGAACATCTGGTTCTGCCAAGCTCTACCGAATTCTTACGAAGCAGGTCTTCGCGCTTTCGGAGTTGGAACTCAAGGCTCAGATTTGGTTTGTGGTTGTCTGGTGCAATTTTGGGGGCCCTGGAAGAGCAGCGATGGTACGGTAGAGGCCTTAGTAGTTAGAATAGGGTTTTGGGGTATTCTTTTCTATAATTATAATAAGGAAGCCCCAAAATAACGTTAAGGCCCCTATATTACATGAGTTGCAAAAACCATTAAAGCACCCTGAAAATCTCGGCCTTAATTGCGACTAAACACACCTAGAAGTCAAGAAACAAGCGCACTCAACAGGCACACAGCACGAATAAAGTCAGCCCTAAGCCCTACCAAGAACGAGAAACATGCTCTGAAGCGACACCCGAAACCTCAAAACCTTTCAACAGCAAACTTTATCAGGGTAAGGTTTAGGGTTTAGGGGTTTAGGGGTTTAGGGTTTAGGGTCTGGGGGTTAGGGATGACTTCTGATGGCCTCCCAGCACGGCAATGGCTGAGCAGATAGAGCGCACAGGGCAGCAGCAGAGCAGTGGCAAGGAGTCCCACCTCCTTCGCGGCTTTTAGGGCTCAGGGTTTAGGGCCTAGGGTTTTGAGAAATCTACTCTAGCAGGCTCAATGAGGTTTTCACGAATGTACGGTTTCGGCCAAGGTTCCTAAGGGTTGAACTTTCAGAGTCATACTGTTGATGGACAAAATTCTGCATGACCCAAGTATAGTATAGTACCATAATTCCCGTAGTTTATGTATAGAAGGTCATGCAGGATTTTGTCCATCAACAGTACTAAGCACCCAGAAACACTATATCCGCATCTTGCATTTACCCCAGAGCGTCAGCTGCTCCGCATTCCTTAGTTCCGCGGCTTCATTAAATCCTAAACCCTCGTCCCTAAATCCTAAACCCTAAACCTGAAACTCTAAATCCTAAACCTGAAACCCTAAATCCTAAACCTGAAACCCTAAATCCTAAACCTGAAACCCTAAATCCTAAACCCGAAGCCTAAAATCCTATAAACCTGAAAGCCTAAATCCTGAACCCGAAACTCTAGATCCTAAACCTGAAACCCTAAATCCTAGACCTGAAACCCTAAATCCTAAACCCGAAACCCTAAATCCTATACCCTCAACCGTAAATCCTAAACCTGAAACCCTAAATCCTAGACCTGAAACCCTAAATCCTCAACCCGAAACTCTAAATCCTAAACCCGAAACTCTACATCCTATACCCTCAACTGTAAATCCTAAACCCGAAACTCTACATCCTCAACCCGAAACCCTAAATCCTAAACCTGAAACCCTAAAGCCTAAACCCGAAACCCGAAACCCTAAACCCTAAACCCTAAACCCTAAACCGTGGCCGAAGCCCCTAAACCCTATACCCTCAACCCTACGTCCCCGCCTGGAAGCTCCACTCAGCCAGGCACTGCGGCTGGCAAGGGAGGAGCCACCAGGCCAGGGAGCTCTGGGCCTGCACCCCAGGGCAGCACCTCCCAGGGTTTAGGGTTTAGGGGTTTAGGGGTTTAGGGTTTAGGGTTTGGGGTTTAGGGTTTAGGGTTTCGCGTTTAGGGTTTAGGGTTTCGGGTTTTGGTGGGTTTCGGGTTTCGGGTTCAGGGTTTAGGGTTCAGGGTTCAGGGTTAGGGTTTACGGGTTAGGGTTTAGGGTTTAGGGTTTACTGTAGGGTTTGGGCTTTGGGGCTTCGAAGCTGAACAGAACAAGGCTGACAGCCACAAGAGGTACCATGGCATAGCAATCAGGACCATCATGGCTATCATCATGGGTTCTAGCACACCGAACGTCGGAACCTGAAAAGCAACCCTGGCCCTATAGCCCCAATATCTTAGGGTTCTTAGTAAGAGCCCTAAGAAAGACCCAGGGTTTGTTGATCAGGTTCTTTCATTAGTCTGTTTACTACCCTAAACCCTAAACCCTAAACCCTAAACCCTAAACCCTAAACCCTACCCCCATGTTTTATGTTTGCCAGAAGCATGAACCCAAAACGCTAAACCCTGAGCATGATTCCGACGAACATCAAGGAACCCGAGAACTTGCCGGGCCGAGCCAAACGAAGCTTAAAGCGCCCTGAATCATAGGGACTCTAAGGGTTTAGGGTTTAGGGTTTAGGGTTTAGGGACTCTAAGGGGGGTCCGTATTACTGGTATTAAGGCCCCCAGCCCCCCTCCACCCTAAGGGTCCCTGTGACATTTAATCAGGTGGGTTTAGGGTTTAGGGTTTAGGGTTTAGGGTTTAGGGTTTAGGGTTTATGGTTTAGGGCTTCCAAGGGGAGGGGGGCTGCCATTACTAGATCTGAACACCTACACCCAAAGCTCTAATCCCCAATCCCTAAACCCCAAACCCCAAACCCCAAACCCCAAGCCCTAAACCCTAATCCCTAAACCCCAATCCCTAAACCCCAATCCCTAAACCCCAAACCCAAAACCCCAAACCGAAAGCCCTCATCCCCAGTCCC